TGTGCATTTAAAAGTGACAGTATGCTAATTATATACTCCGAATTTATTATTATTATTATTATTCCTGACCTAAATAATATTCAATATATTTATTAAGTCTAATTCCACTATAATTAATCACTGTGCTATGCGCAAGTTATAAATTTAATTTATTTTTCTTCAAGTTCTTATTTTTACAATTTTAATTATATTATCATTACTATCTTAATCAAAATTAAAATTTTAAAAATTAAAAATATTATAATTAAAATTGATCAAATTATCAGCGAGTACATATGCATACATATCTACACACATTAGTTTGCACACTTTACATTATGCGGATTTAGAAAGGAACTATGATCCGGCAAAATATTCACACAATCTTCAAAATCTTTATTGAATAAAATTGCATTATATATAATCATTCAAATCAGGAACGTAATATATTTTCTCTTTATTTATAAACTTGTAAGTACAATACATATATTTATCATCTAAATTCGGTCTTTTTTTATAGAAAACCGTTAGTTTTATTAAAAATAGAAAATATCTAAAATTACAATAAAGATTTACAAGCATAACTGTAAACGTAAACTAAATTATAATTATGACATTTTCCTATAATCATTAACACAAAAACTAGTCAACTAGATCACACAAGGACCATAAAAAGAAAAAGGTTAAAAACCTAAACAATGCTCGAAGAAAAAGGATACGAACAAATCTGACTATATCGACAAACGAACCATAAAAGGGGATGAAACTATTGAAAGACTACCGAAAAATCACAAATCAGAGTCAAGCGACATGAGAAAACTATCCACGAGTGCAAAACGCGTATCCAAATCAATCTGAGGGTCCAAAGAAGCGAAGAGCAATTGGATAACAAATAAGCCATCTTGATCAGTTGTGGCGATGTCAAATCCAACCGATGTGAAAAAATATAAACGAAAAAAAGGTAATAAACCGTAAGCTATCAAAAGGCAGAGAACATGTCACGAAGACATAATTATTCTCATTAAAAACTAAAAAAATAAAGAAAATAGATAATCGATAGGCTGCAACTAGCATCAAAACTGGTGTCACCGCCGGTTAAACAAAATTAAAGAAGAAAAAGTTGGATTGATCAATAAAATTGACACAAGTTGTAAAGAAAAATAAAAAAAAAGAGAGAGAGGAAGAGGAAGAGGAAGAAGAAGAGCAGCTCTAAATTCGGTCTTTAACTTTAGGGGAAAGAGATCAATTAATATATTTGTTTATAAATCGATTAAATTAATTTTATTTTTCTTTCTAAAGTAATTATCTAATTTTTTTAAAGTGTCACTTGAGGTGGTGGTCTAAGTGTCATCGCCTCTCTTGTACTTATTTTCTTTTTCCTTTGATTAAGATCTAAACAAATGTTCTCCCCGTTTTAATTTCATTCTTTTCATATATTCTTAAAGAGTTTGGTTTTTGTTTGTTCTTCTACTTTTATGACAGTTTTTTTTATATTGTTATGATAGTTTGACATTTTATGTTGCATTCATCACGACACATCTCTTGATCAAGAAATATCGATGATCTTCTAAAGTTAGATTCCCTTTTGCGACAGTTTGTCAATGCATTCAAAACTATTTGCGGAGTAATTTGTCGAATTGGTTCTCTTAATTTTCATGCCTACATAATATTGCGTATTGGTTCAACTAGAGATAAAAAATAATTATTAATAGTTGCTAGATTCTTGCGGAAGATAAAGGATGTATTTAAGCGATAATTTTTTTAATTTTATTTTTATTTATACATTTTAAATTTCCATGTTGAGATTATATTATCTTTAGTGTGCCTTCATCTTTTTATGCTTGGTTAAACATATTTTGATGTCTGGTTTAGGGAGGTATCTCTTCTGCGATTCTCTATGAGATTACGGGCTTCTTCCCATACGGAAAAAACATGAATCCTTCATATAATATAAGCTTTTGTTAATGACAAAATCATGATTGATTCCTGAGATAATTAGGGACAGACGTAGGATCTTATGTTAGGGGGTGAATTTAAACTTATAAAATTTAGGAGGACGAACTTGAACTTATAAAATTATAGGGACGAAAACATATTTTCAAAATATATATATATATATAATCTAAAATATATGATAATTTTAAAATTTTAGACAGTTACCGCCTCCACCCGCACGCCTAAGTCCATCCCTAGAAACAATAATCAAAGTTGCCGGAATTTTACAAAATCCTTCATTACTATGTACAGGGAGGATTAGTTAACACGGTGTAGAACACGTTTGTTTTTTTTTTTTGGGGATTTGCAGTCGCAATATTTCCACAGATTTTGTGCCACCATTTTAGAAAATAATGTAACACTTTTGCATGTGCATTCAATAGAAGAATTGACGTTTATTCATTTCTTCTTTTTTTCAACTGCGTTTATTCAGAAGGAGAAACAAAGGAAAAGAAATTCGACGGTAATGCAATTCAAGTCATTAAATCTTGATTTAATACAATTAGTCGTAATAAGTGACATTTTCATTAAATTCGAGTTTTGAGTTTCAATATTTATTATCATATTTGAATTTACAATCTCCAGACCTAATTTATATCGAAAATTGAACAGTGCACCAAAGTAGTTGAGGTTAATAGATTGTTCATAAAGTAAAGATAGGTTTATCAAGAAGGGGCTTTAATTAGCCGATTAGGTAATTAGTTATTCACATTAATAGATGAGAGACAGTCTATAGCCTAGTATTAAACCCTAATTCCAATTAGGGTATTTAACTGTTACATAGCTTTCTTAACATAGGGGAAAAACATGGTAATTGTTCTAGAGTTTTGGATTTGCTAGTCACTTGGCCATAAAGTAAAATCGTACAAAACAAACGGGAGCTAATTAGCTGCATGGATTTGTCTGAGAGTGTTCTGGAATGGTTTCTGTACTTGCAAAATTTTTAAATGTGGCATGGTTCGACTCCCAGGATGTGGTGTTCAAATCCGAAGTCTTTGAGTTTGGTGTCTCAGGGTGCCTTGTTGATTTTGGTAGTTGGTTTTCGGGTTTATATCTTTCGAAGTTGTTATTTTTAACGAGTTGTGTTGTCTTCTTTTTTTCCGTATAAGTTTAGGGAGGTTTTTAACGAGACACACAACGTTAATTTCGGGATCTTTAAAATTATATTTGCAGAGAAAAAATGTTGAATTATTATCTATTGCAAGTCTTAGTATACATCTTAAGATATCCATCACACAGATTTGCATAAAATATATGCATCCGATTCTGAATTAATAACCGGTACGCATATGAATAACTATTGACTTTCCTATAACATACTAAGCTCGTAATTGATATATCAAAGACTCAAACATAAAAACCTTTACATGAATATTAGTTCTTTTTTAACTAAACGATATTCCTTAAAGGAATCTCTGGTTCACACCTAAATAAAAACTTCCAACAACTCCTCTAATGAAAACACATACTAAAAAGACAGAACACCAAATAAAACTCTACATTTACTCGAATTAACAGGAGATACTACAAGAACAATCGAGACTCGCCTAATATCCATCTAAAAACACAAACTTTGACACCCTTTTCATTTTTGTTATATATATATGTGTGTGTGTGTGTTATCCCTTTAGATTTGGAGATAAAAACAATGAAGTAAACATTGGAACTTCCTGATAAGAAGAAGATTAATGGTTATGGCAGTAGAATGATCCAACAAGGTGTGTATGAAATCTGGGACCATTTTAAATCCGATAATTATGTAAGAAAATGATCAGAGCAGTGCACGTAATTTCTCCTGATGCCATTTCTCCCCACCTGCAAAGACAGAGATAAATCAACACGGACTTCTGTTTATGTGATTAAATCAATAATAAAGCCTTGAAAGGGTGGATAGTTGACTTTGACTCTTAATTCACCTCTTGTAATTTGCTGCATAAATTCTAGTCGTATTGAATAATTTGCTGTAAAGATCTGATACTGCAGGTTCATAGGGCTCATCAAATTGTTATGGTCTTCTTTTTTTTCTTGTTTCGATACAAATATAGAGGTATAATGTTCAGCTTTTCAACTGCTGCAACTGTAAGCTATCTCTGAAACTTAGCTATTATGGCTTTTGGTTTTTGACTATATTTTGGTATATATATGTTAACCGTGATTAGCAAATTCGAGATTTATTAGTATGTTCCAGCAATAAATTCTCAATAAATCAAAATTTCCAAATCAGAACACTTATGCAACTCAGTCATATTTCATTTCCCTAGAGTTCAGATCATCGCGAAATCATTTGCAAACTGAAGTTAAATCAAGTGAGGAAAATGTATACTATTATATAAGTTTACAAGGTCCAACTTGCAGCTTGCAAATCTCAGTGCTTCCTTAGATATGAGTGGTCCTTGTTGAAAGAAGCTATACATACGTACGTTACATACATACATATATATATATATATATATATATAGAGAGAGAGAGAGAGAGAGAGAGAGATTGGTCCCTCCTCTACAAGGTGTAGCGTAGTAGACAGTTATCCCTATAATGTAAATTTCCTAACCAGAACTTTTGAACCCCGCAATATTCTGATAAAGCATTTGGTTCCATTTTAACCTAATTCTGCTTAAATTTCCTTTTTCTTTTGAGGTTTTAACTTTGCAATGTAGCAAAGTGGAATTTAAGCAAGCTAGGCATGTATTATATAAAGCTATTCTAGTTGCAGTAAAGCATAAGCCTTCTTTTCTAGTACATGTATTGAATGGTCCCAAATATGTATATTTGTGAAGTTAGACTTTCTACTTTGTGTGCTATTCAAACCATGATGAAATAATGTAGATGACCAAGAGACGTGGTGTGCAATAATTAAACCAGTGATTGTTCAGTATGTGGTATACTATGAATTATTTGAATCTCTGTTATTCGGATTCGAGATAAGAGAAAGGTCTATATGTTTAATAAGATTGGTTCGAAGGTCGATGTGTCGGCTCGCGTGATGCCACGTAGACATAGATGTGCCGCTGCTTTTCCTTTTTTACATTACCATCCAACATGCCTGCAGTGGAATTCCAAGCATCTTTATCTTTCTCCCAACAGCTGTGTTTTCTTCTTTCTTTTTCTTTTTGTTAGGTTTCTTCTCAGCAGAATTGTTGTTTAAGCGTTTGAAAGCTAAAATTAGCTTTACATCTCCGTTGCTGTCTCTGCAACTTTCTCGTACTTCAAGTTCCGTAACCTTCTGAAGTATTGTCGAGAAAGAAGACAAACTAGACCCGTGTATATCTGCTGCAACATTTCTCATCTGTTACAATTTTAAGTAAGTTCGTCATATGCATCGATCTGGATTTTTTTAGGGAAAAAACTGGTTTTGTTTGATTCCCAAACTCATCTTTTTTTGGAACAAAAATGGGAATTTCTTTGATTAACTTATAATAGTTTCAACTGCATTTAAATTCGTTTTTGAAAATTTTACCCTAGTTCTAAACCCTAATTTTACTTGGGGCAAATTTTACTTTGATCTTAAAACTCAATTTTTTTTTGTATATGAATATATTGTAAAGAAGCGTGAAGTAGGGCAAATTGATTGTCTGACGGATACTTTCATATCATCTTCAGCTTGATAACATATGTTTTATGAATGATGAGGAGAGTAAGATGATCTCGAGTACAAGGGAAGCAAAGCAAGAGGGTGAAGCCAACGACGGCGGCGGCGGCGGCGGCGGCAAGTTGTCGAAGGGGCCATCATCATCATCGAGTTCAAGGCAGTGGTCTTCGTTTAGAAACCCAAGGATTGTGAGAGTTTCGCGTTCTTCCGGAGGAAAAGATCGGCATAGCAAAGTTTGCACGGTAAGGGGATTAAGGGACCGGCGAATTAGGCTTTCGGTGCCCACGGCTATTCAATTATACGATTTGCAAGAGAGGCTCGGTGTTGGTCAGCCGAGCAAGGTGGTTGATTGGTTACTTGAAGCTAATAAAGATGACATCGATAAACTACCTCCACTTCAAATGCCTGTGGGATTCAATCAGTTTCATCAGTCATTGTTGGTTCCTCACGAATTGAATAATCCTCCGTTTTTTGACCCGAATTCGATGTTGATGAAAGATGGTGAAGACGAAGATCAGAGAATTGGAGGTAAAAGAGATAAGGGGAAATGGATCGATCATGGAAATCATGGTGGAAATATTGAAGAACATCATCAAAGGGTTTTCCCATTAACCACTCATTCCCATTTCCTGGATTCTTAAACAATGGTATGCCTTTGAATTCATATTACCATTGGGAGCCTCCAAATCTGTCTTTGTCTCGGTTCGGACACCATGGATTAATGGTGCCCCAAACCGAAAACTTCTTCAGCGGTAACACGACGAGTGCCTTGTTGCCGTCTTCGTCATCATCCACCGTTCCAACCACGACAATGGCTTCCTTTTTTCCCACGTATCCTCCAGACGGCAATGATTCTAGGCAAATGAATTATCTGCAATTTTTGAGCTCAAATTTTCTATCGAGTTCCGTCACGATGAGTTCGATAAAGCCTTTTCCGTTAAACGTAAACACCGGCCTCATTCATACACAAGATGATGAACACCACGGAGATGATCAAAATGATACAGATTGCTGATGAAGGAATGATTGCTTAAACTGCATTTTATGCAGAAAAGTTGAGATAATATTACAATAAAGGTTCTTAGTTATATATATATCAGCCAGGAGAAGAGATGGAGCAGTGGCAGTGATTTTCAATTAGTTCTTCAGGTGCATTAATTAAATCCATAATGCAGCAGGTAAGATGCTTAATACTTGTGCATTATAGAGAGTTTTTCATTTGGTAGTTGATTTGTACTTTAATCTTTTGCATTATATGTATGTCATTGATTCTAATGTTTTAATTACATATACATATATACATATATATATGCATGTATAAGCCATGCATGTTGAGAAACTGCATCATTGTTATGAAAATTAGGATTCATATGAACAAATGCTCCTTGTATAACTTTTTAAAAATCCAATTTACTTAGGGTTTTGTTATATGTATATTATAATGGTTTCTTCTTCTTCTTCTTATAGTATATGAATCTATACAGAGCCATATATCAAAGAATTACTGTAAGTACTAGTTACTTGTCAATTGAGTTTGTCAGATACAAGATTTCTGAAAAACAAAGTTTTAATCGAAAATGTATTTAAAACTCAACTCTCAACCTATAAATTTTCTTTTATTTTCAGTCATATATATATATATATATATATATATATATATATGGTACAAAAAAAGTTTAGGTTAGGGTGGCTCGTCCAGTCCAAGGTCAAGGCATATTTAAAATCCAATTGGAATTTTCATAAGAATTTACATATTACCACCAATAGTGACTGTGATAGAATTCGAACTTACCTCATAAGTTCAAATTCCTAACTCCCAATCACTTGTGCCATAACACACATGCACATACGCACACACACATACACGCGTGCGCACACAAATATATTTTAATTTTATATTTATTTAATATCATTTTGAGCTTTTTATTTTTTTATTTATTACTATTAATGTAAGTCATCTATTTATACTTATCTAATCATCCTAATAATAGTTATTACATCTAAAGAGATATATATATATATAAACATGAGTGAAATTGGCATACAAGTTGGGATTATCATAGGTTAGATCAGGTTTTTGACTCATCCGAGTTTGACATGAAAAATAAACTCCTTCACTCTTAGGGGTGACAATTTAATCTGAGTCTGACAAGTTTTGACCCAATCCAACTCGATAAGAGCATATTTTTTTTAAAAAAAAATGAGTTTGGGTCAGATTTAGTATGGAAGATTTTCGAGTTCAGGTCAGAGTCCGGTTTAAAGTTAAAAAAGTTTGACTCGACCCCACCCGACCCAGATATTTTAACTAATACATTAACTTATTTACGAAAATGCCACCCTATATATTTTTCATTTCATTTTTTCCTTTCATCTCATATTCTCAAGTCTCTCGCTCAAATATTTGAACTTTGAAGTTTAAAGCCATTTAACTTTGCTTTTTATTTCATTACCCAGATGTTATTTTCTTTTAAGAGTTCTTTTGTTCTTTATTTTTGTTTAAAAGGAAAAAAACGAAACATTAATTTTTTTACTATTTTATTGAAAAATATGATATTTTTAATTTATGGGTATTTCAAAAATCATAGGATTTCTTTTCTCTTTTTAATTTTTTCGGGTCGGAGTCGAAGCAGGAAAAAATATGACCCGACCTGTTATCATCCCTATTCGCTCCAACTCTGGTTTAAGAGGGTTTCATCAAACCCAAAATCTAACCAGATATTTTAGGTGAAAGCTCAGACTCAACCCATCCTGATACATATATTTTTATTAGGTAAAATAAAGAAGAGTGTTATTATAATTAGCCATAAACATATATGGGATAAATATAATATTATATTAAACTGAGTCGAAGCTTTCTACCATAAACTTGAACCCAACCTGACATCAAACTTCAAAAAATCCAATCTGAACCTATATTCGAATTTACAACAAAAATAAAATTAAATCAAGTCGAAACTCATCGAACTCAAACTAAATTCCCATCCCTACGTATAAGTGTATAATAATTGAACTGCTACACGAACGAAACGTAGCAAATAAGAGAAATTCACAGCCAAAATTACAAATATATACGCGCTCTGAATGATACAATACAAGGGTGTATGGATATGAAATAATAGAATATGAATGACTGCAAATCTGAGGACAACAGACAAAGACTGAAATGGTGGAAGAGTGATAGTCGCAAGATCCAATAAATTCAATTGGGATTTTGACGTTGCAGTCGCTCGCATGGAAGCTTTGTGGTCCTTTTTCTTTCCATTCACATTCAATTCCCGCTGTATTTTTGGACCCAATTGTATTCATCATATTCATGCCCTACCTTACTTAATCATACTTTCTTAAAATCCACGTAATTGTTTTTTATTTAAAATTTTAGAGCATTTTAACTCATGCCTCAACAATTAAAGTGTGTTTATTATCCATAGAGATCCTGAGTTCAAGCAGTCGCGTCTGTAGGGTGTGTGCGTTGTAAATAGTTAAAAAAGATTTTGAATAGATATTATCTCGTAATCACCCTAGACTATTCAATTTTTTTGGGTGGGGGATTCACATCCAATATACAAGTGTAATGCATTCTTTTAGGGTGAGTAAAACTTAATCTGGCTCAAAAAAATTATTTTTTTTCTTTTCAATTTTGAGTTATTTGATTCATAAATTATTGAGTCGATTTTCAAGTTCGAATCAAGTTCAAATTTAAAATTTTTGAGTCACTCAAAAATTTTAAATGAATATTTTGACAATTTTGCGTTTTAGTCTATGGTTTTCTTATTCCTTCATCCCCTCCTTCATGTTAAATCATTTTTAACCAAATTTAAAATACATGTTGAAAAAATAATTGATTGATGCAATTAATAATAAGTTATGTTACTTGGTAAATAGACATATTAATAATAAGTCATGTTAGTTGATAAATAGATTTGTGAATTTTTTTATTTAAAGTTGCATCCATACAATCTTATTTATTGTTCTTTCACTAATTCTCTTCATTAAAAGTCAAGTCCCTCCATCAAACGGTCTTAGCCTTTCAATTTATTTCCTTTCCACTATATAAAGGCTTGCTGAGACACAATTTTAGAATGGGAAAAGACTTAGAAATTTTATCCCAAATTCATTCTTTTTTATGATAGAGAAAAAAAGATTGTGTTCGATTAATCACTATTATTGTGCTTACTACTGTGATTGTTTGTTATTGTATCTTGGGAGAATGACATCCAATGTTACTCATAACACTGAGGAGATCACGAATCTATAGTAAGGAAATTGTTCATACATGCCTTAGCAAAACTTCTTCTTTTGTATATCTAACTCTGCTCATCCAATCTATATCTAGATACGAGTAAACAATTTTGTTCGTTAATTTTAATTTTTTTGTGTTGCTCGATTCAATAATAATATTTGTTTATTTTGATTATTATTTCATTGTTCTATTTCTCAGATTAATGTTTTGTCTAACAACACAAACTCCTAAATCATTTTAGAATATCTATGTATTTTCAGTTTCTCTTTTTGATAATATTTTTTTATATTTTCAATTTAGTTCCTCAACTTTATATAATTTTATTATTCTTTCAAAGAAAAGATTCATTTTAAAGTCTATCTTTCGATAACAAATATGTAATACCCCAAATTTTGGCTAGTGACTAAAATGTAAGTTTTAAAAGTTTAGTGACTAAAGTATAAATTTTGAAAAGTTTAGGACCAAAAATTTAATTATGAAAAAACTATATATTTTATCCCATAAATGAACAGTTTGGCCTATAACAAGAATTTTCGTGGTAATTAGATTTTCGGTATGAGATTTGTGTTAAAATCTATAAAGAGTTAAAGTTCGGTATAGAAATCGGATAATCGGGTCAAGTTAGAATTTCACGAAAATTTGAAGAATGTTAGATAATTGTTGGAAACATTATTTACATATTTTATATAAGAGAAATTTAGCTCCGATAAGTGTACCTTTTTAGATTTGGACAAACAGTGGAATTTTAGTGACTAAAATGCAATTTTTGAAAAATGGAAGATAATGAAATGGAAATTGGTAATTATCAAGTTTCATTAATGGTATTTTTGAGATTTCTTATTAATTGAATTTTAAATTCAATTATATTATAAAGTAGCCATATGTTAAGGTTGTTAAATACTATAATAATCAATACATTAAACACATTCTTGAACAAGCATAGGCTGACACTTCACTCTTTTCCAAGGTAAGATTGTATTTTTTATTTTTAAGCTTACATGATTAATTTTTGGACTAAGTTGTGAAATAAAGAATTAATCTACATGAAATTCTCTATAATTTGGTATAAATATTACATGGTGAAGATGCTTGTATGTTAAGATTGAGAATTAGGGTTTATATATTTTGAAGAATTGATGAAGGATTTTTAAGTTTTTGACGTTGGAGATTGATTCTAAAGCATGTATGATGATTAAAATTACTTATACATGCTTATATTAAGTTCAGTCACTTTAGGGTTTATGAAGAATTGGTGGAAATTGATTCAATTTGATGTTGTGATGGTTAGAATAGAATTAATTTAATGTAAGAAAGATGAATTTGTTCTTGAGATTGAATGAAAACCTTGTCCTAAAGTACTATGTAGGTTCGGCCATAGGGAGGAAATTGGGGAAAATTATTGAAAATTTTCCTATGGTATAGAAATGATATTAGAAGTGTTTTATGTGATTTGGAGATCAATTTGGAAGCTTGAGTTAGTAAAAAGGCTAATAAATAAGTTTTGAGAATTGTGGGATATTATTGCTAAAATGTGAAGTTTGGCGTGTTCAATGCAAGTTTTCAACATTGAAATGCTGGAATTTTAAGTTAGAAAGTTGATTGGAATCAAATTGCAAGTTTGGTAAAGTTGAGAGTGGAATTCGAAAAGTCACATAAAAGGTTCGGTACTGAGGCAAAGGTGAGTTTAATTTATTTATTTATTATTTATATTTAAGGATGACTTAAGATAAGTCAACCTCATATTATTTTTCAAGCATTTTTTTACTTTAATTATAAATTATTTCCATAATGTTTATATAAATGTTTTATGGATGATTTAGGGTATGAACTGTCCAAATATGAGTTTATGAGAATGAATATTAAATATTTATGATTTTCATACGTTGAATAATAAATTATTATATTATGAATTAAAAGTCCATTGTATATTGTATTGAGAGTCGTAGGTACATTTGACATGTCATTAAGTTGAATATTTTCAAGTCAAGTGTTACGATCTGCACTTGGAGTGCATCTTATGATATGTTATGATTGACATCGTGAAGTGCCTAGTGTGCACCTTATGTTCAACTCACGTACCTTATACTCTCTTAAAT